CCAGATCACTTTTGCAATGCTGCCCAGAACAGAAGAAAGATGCACTTAGACAGAGGTTTCCAGGGACAGCATTCCTCTTTTCATGCGAGCAAAATGAATCTGAACAACAGGTGGGGCTAGTTTCCTTTACAAAAGACCGTGGAAGACACAAATTCTCTCTGCAAGCCTGACTGCTTAGAAGAACACCAAGCCCCATCACAGCCCTCAGTCTTAGTAACAGCAATACATGCTCCCAGACTTCACATTCTTTCAAAGTCCATACTGAATCAAAATTTCAAAACTTGGGGGCATATTTTTAAAAACAGAACTATACAGGAATAATTGATGATAAATATAAACCCTTTCTAAATACTATGTCCTCCAATCTATTAGAAAGCAAAATAAAACAAAATAAGAAACAAACAGGAACAGTTACTGCCATGATATATAATTTCATGTCACTTGTTCATTTGGTTCTGTTTCTTGCAGTGTCTGTAACAGAAACTCAAACTGAACCTTCCCCTGAAATGGCCAAATAGAAACAGCTCGTCTGCGGCTCCCACCAAGGAGAATGAAAACAGCGAGTGAATTCTGCATCTTCAGTTAAGGTGCCCAGTTTCTCTCATTGGGACTGACAAGATGGTTGGCATAACCCACAGACAAGAAGGAAAAAAGCAGGGTGGAGTGAGGGCCCACCCAGGGCCTGCACGAGGCAACAGGAGCTCCCTCCCCAGGCCAAGGCAGGTGGTGAGGAATTGTGCTATCCCGCTCTGAAAACCAGGGTTTTCCCATAGATCTCTGCAACCTGCGGACCAGGAGGTCCCCTTGTGATCCCACACCACCAGTGTCTTGTGTCCAAAGCACAGAGCTGTGCAGACACACAGCTGCTGCTCAGGTGGACAGCCACTTGGGCAGACACTGAGACACAGGAGATTTTGCATACTACAGCTTTGGGAACTTTGGTGAGGCAGGAGATCCATCCACTCCCATGGGAAGGGGCTGAAGCTAGAAAGCCAATCGGCCTTGCTCAGCGGGTCCCACTCCCATGGAACCCCTCAAATTAAAAACCACTGGCTTGGAATCTTTGCCAGCCAGTGTAATATGTTGGAGGCTGACTAAGAACACCGAGTTTGGTGGGGGAATGGGGTGGTTACCACCACTGCTGCCCCAGTGAGCAGTTTTCCCCTGCTCAGATTGGAAATGAAGGAGATAAAGACACAAAAATCCTTTAAAATAATTAATGAATCCAGGAGCTGGTTTTTTAAAAATTAACTAAAAATATACCACTAGCTAGACTAACAAAGAAGAAAAGAGAGAAAAATCAAATAGAAACAATAAAAATGATAAAGGTGATATCACCACTCACCCCACAAAAATACATACAACCATCAGAGAATATCATAAACACCTCTATGCAAATAAACTAGAAAATCTAAAAGAAATGGATTAATTCCTGGATACATACACCCTCCCAAGACTGAACCAAGGAGAAGTTGAATTCTTAAGTTATTAAGACCAATAACAAGCTCTAAAATTGAGGCAGTAATAAATAGCCTACCAACTAAAAAATGTCTGGGAACAGATGGATCTACAGCTGAATTCTATCAAAGGTACAATAAGGAGCTGCTACACTTTCTTCTGAAACTATTCCAAACAATTGAAGAAGAAAAACTCCTCCCTAACTCATTTTATGAGACCAGCATCATCCTGATACCAAAACCTGGCAGAGATACAACAAAAAAACAAAACTTCAGGCCAATATCCCTAATGATCATTGATGCAAAAATTCTCAGTAAAATACTGGCAAACCAAATCCAACAGCACATCAAAAAGTTTATCCACCATGATCCAGTTGGCTTCATTTCTGGGATGCAAGGTGGGTTCAACATATGCAAAGCAATAAACATAATTTATCACGTAAACAGAACCAATGACAAAAACCACGTAATACTTCAATAGACACAGAAAAAGGCCTTCAATAAAATTCAACATTTCTTCATGTTAAAAACTCTCAATAAACTAGGTTTTGAAGGAACATACCTCAAAATAATAAGAGCCATTTATGACAGACCTACAGCCAATATCATACTGAAGGGGCAAAAGCTGAAAATACTCCCCTTGAAAATCAGTACAAGACAAGGAAGCTGTCTCTCACCACTCCTAGTCAACATAGTATTCCAAGTTCCGGCCAGAGCAATCAGGCAAGAGAAAGAAAGAAATGGTATTCAAATAGGAAGAAAGGAAGTCAAATTGTCTTTGTCTGTAGGTGACATGATCCTGTATCTAGAAAACCCCATTGTCTCAGCCTAAAAGATTCTTAAGCAGATAAGCAACTTCAGCTAAGTCTCAGGATACAAAATCAATGTGCAAAAGTCACAGGAATTTCTATACACAAACAATACACTAGCAGAGAGCCAAATAATGAGTAAACTCCCATTCACAACTGCTATAAAGATAATCAAGTATCTAGGAATACAGCCAACAAGGGAAGTGAAGAACCTATTCAAGGAGAACCACAAACCACTGATCAAGGAAATAATAGAGGACACAAACAGATGGAAAAATATTCCATGATCATGAATAGAAAGAATCAATACTGTGAAAATAGCCATACTACCCAAATATGGATTCAACGCTATTCTCATTAAGATACAATTGACATTCTTCAGAAAATTAGAAGAAACTACTTTAAAATGTATATGAAACAATAAGAGAGTCCATATAACCAAGACAATCCTAAGCAAAAAAAAAACAAAGCTGGAGGCATCAGGCTATACAACTTCAAACTATACCACAGGCTACAGGAACCACAACAGCGTGGTACTGGTACAAAAACAGACACCTATACCAATGGAGCAGAATAGAGAACTCAGAAATAATACTGCACATCTACAACTATCCGATCTTCAACAAACGTGACAAAAACAAGCAATGGGGAAAGGATTCCCTATTTAATAAATGGTGCTGGAAAAACTGGCTAGCCATATACAGAAAATTGAAACTGTACCCCTTCCTTACACCTTGTGCAAAAACTAACTCAAGATGGAATAAAGACTTAAATGTAAAACCCAAAGGTATAAAATCTAGGCAATAGCACTCATGGCATGAGCACAGGCAGATATTTCATGACAAAATTGCCAAAAGCAATTGCAACAAAATCAAAAATTGACAAATGGAATCTAATTAAACTAAAGAACTTATGCACAGCAAAAGAAATTATTAGAGTGAACAGGCAACCTACAGAGTGGGAGAAAAATTTTTCAATCCATCCATCTGACAATGGTCTAATATTCAGAATCTACAAGGAACTTAAACACATTTACAAGAAAAAAAACTAACAACCCAATTAAGTAGTGGGCAAAGGGCATGAAAAAGTCTTCTGAAAAGAACATATTCATGGCCAGGCACAGTGGTTTTTGCCTGCAATCCCAGCACTTTGGGAGGCCGAGGTGGGCAGATCACCTGAGGTCAAGAGTTTGAGACTAGCCTGGCTAACATGGTGAAACCCCATCTCTCTAAAAATACAAATAATAATAATAATAACCCAACGTGGTGGCAGGTACCTGTAATTCCAGCTACTTGGGTTGCTGAGGGAGGAGAATTGCTAGAACATGGGAGGTGGAGGTTGCAGTGAGATGATCATGCCATTGCACTCCAGCCTGAGGCAACAGATGGAGACTGTTTTAAATTAAAAAAAAAAAAAGTAAAAGAAAGAAGAGACATTCATGTGGCTAACAAACAACAAATAAATATATGAAAAATGTTCATCGTCACTAATCATTAGAGAAATGTAAATCAAAACCGCAATGAGATACCATCTCATGCCAATTAGAATGGTAATTATTGAAAAATCAAGAAATGACAGGTGCTGGCAAGATCACAGAAAAATAGGAAAGCTTTTACAATGTTAGTGTGGATGTAAAATATTTCAATCATTGTGGAAGACACTGTGGTGATTCTTAAAATATCTAGAACCAGAAATGCCATTTGACCCAGCAATAGCATTACTTGGTATATAGCCCCCAAAATATAAATCATTCTATTACAAAGATACACGTACACGTATGTTCATTGGAGCACTATTCACAATAGCAAAGACATGGAATCAAACCAAATATCTGTCAATAATACACTGGATAAAGAAAATATGGCACATATACACCATGGAATACTATGCAGCCATTAAAAGGAATGAGATCATGTCCTTTTAAGAGACATGGATGGAGCTGGAAGCCATTTTTCTCAACAAACTAATGCAGGAACAGAAAACCAAATACTGCATATTCTCACTTATAAGTGGGAGCTGAACAATGAGAACACATGGACACAGGGAGGGGAACATCACACACTGGGACATGTCATGGGGGACAAGGGGAAGGAGATTATCAGGATAAATAGCTAATGCATGCTGGGGTTAATACCTAGGTGATGGGTTGATATTTGTAGCAAGCCACTGTAGCAAACATTTACTTATGTAACAAATGTGCACATCCTGTACCCCAGAACTTAAAATAAAAATTTAAAAAATTTTTTAAAAAGAAATTTGAACATAGTTCACTCATTTAAATATAAAGTAGGTTGCTGCCTAGTTATAAATCAATGTATCACAAAATAGGCCACAGAGACTGCCCTGCCATCATTAGACATGTGGCTACAAAAAGCAGAAATGGGGAAATAGGCAGTGTGGGGAAATAGGCAGTGTGGGAGGGACAGTTGCCAGTGTGGGGAGGGCAGATGGTACCCCTCACATGCAGTGAGCTGCAGGGGCCAAACCACAAAGTGAAGAGTAAGTCTGGAGTGACTGTGCAGCAGCTGCCTGCATCATCCCAGGAAAAGTTTCAGTTATACAAACTCAAAAATTAAAGAACTGGGAAAGGCCATCTACCTACCTTTGGAAAGAGAGATGGGCCTGAGGTCCTGGGGTGACCTGGGCCCATGGAGACAGAGCTTGGTGATTGATGGTAGTCATGGTAGCAGAAAGCTTATGACAATGTAATGCCAGCACAAGGGGCCTGCACTGATGGCCTAACCCCAATCAGGCCATGGTACCATCTCCCCAAAGAGACAGCTGCCATGAGGGAACCACTGAAATAACTTGAGAGCCAGAAAGCAGTTCTTCTTGCCTTTAGGGTCTTCTGTGATCCTGCTAGAGGGGCGATGCAGAAAAACAAAGTAACTGATCCTACCAGATGAGTTGACCTGGGGAAATATCTCTCATTGCATCTTGTCAGTATATATGCTGTCTGTTTATTTATGTCTTGGGGGCTTGTATTTTATTTAAAAATGTTTCCGTGACTAGAATTTAGTTTTTTTAAAAGGAAAGATGCTCTGAGCATTTTGTTTGGCCCCTCTCCCTGCCTTTGCTCTATGCTTCTAATCCTAAATGATGTTAAAGCATGGCAGACATATGCTGGGGGCTTTATCCTTCAGTACTGTCAGCTCTCATTTGTTTGAGCCACAGACTTTGTGAAGGGGATTAATCAGAGGCAAAGGGACAAGAATAATTCTGTATATTATCATCCCCAAGTGGAATCTGTAAAGGATGTGGCTCCTTCTGCAGCTATGAAGTATTCTTTAGTAGGTTAAAAGAATCATCCTCAGTAGTAAGTCAATATTTTATTTCATATATGAAAGAGGCTGAGAAAGAGGATAGAGTTGAAGAGTTGAGAAAGTTGCTGAAAATAAGATAATCTATACTTTAGAAGCAAGGACAGCATCAGGTTGACTTTAGCATCAGTGTCTGGCCAAAATCTACTCTTTGTCTGAAAGTTTATTTCTTAGCCTATGAAGAACAGAATAGCCATATTCCTACACTGATGGCATTTCTGACATTCTCAAACTTGAATTGTCATCATCAGATCACACAGATCACCATCCTATCAAATCAACCACGTAACGCTAACATGCAAGGCTGCCCTTAGGATTCACTGCCACTGTCTGCAAATGTTAACTTCCACATATAAAGAATGACAGATTTGGAGAATGAAGGTCTTCTTATGTGTATTACATTTTGAAATGTATGAATAAGTCATAGTATAGACATATATTTATTATTCAAACAGTATAAACTATAACAAGCAATGATGACTGTGAAAGCTATTAAGTTATTTTTAAAATATTAAGGAATTTCAATATAAATAAGTAGGAAAATAGAATAATAGTTATAATGAATATAAAGAGTTTTTTATATAGATATCTTTAAAAAGAAAAATATTTAGAGCCCAGAGATTTTCATTAAATTACAAAATAATAACACAAAATTGAATACCAGATATTAGATTACATAATTTTAAAATTTGTGGTATTTTTTTTACAAACCAATATTCATAATTTTAAACATGATTATTATTGAGACAAATTCAATTGTTAAGTATTTAATACAATTTAGGTCATGAGGCTTTCAAAAATGTTTTGGCTTAATATTTCTTCACATAGGTAATATTAAATCAAATCAAATGTGGGCTTTAGAAGCCTTAATACAAGTCCTATATAACAAACTACACAACCTAACTTAGTACTTAAACAATTTGAAAACCTAGATGAGGAATTTGCCTTTGTAACAAACGGTAAAGTATCAGCCAATCACAGCAGCCTAGCTTCAGCCAATCAACTGTTCCACCATGTTCAAACAAAGCAAAGGCTAATCTAGCTGTAACCAACCAGCTATCTCTGAACCTCACCTCCTGTTCTGTACCTCTTTTCCATTTTCTGTCCATAAAATATTTCAGACTGCAGCCTGGGAATTCCTCAGAACCGTTATGGTTCTAAGGGCTGCCCAATTCTGGAATTGCAAGTAAAAGCCAATTAAGATCTTTAAACTAAATGTATTGAAATTTTGTCTCTTAATAGCAAAAATAAATTAACAATGGCAGAAAGTTAACTTTGCAACTCAAAATTTTATTAGGAGAAAATACTCCAAAATTATGCATAACATTTAAATCATCTTTGACCCAAACATAATCCAGAACATGGGAAGTGAAAAGAAAAATGTGTTAGAGAAAAATGAGGTACACAAATAATACTTTGTTTTCTTTAATCATATTTGGAAGCAACAGACTTTGCTAGAATGACTTAGAAGACATTTTCTGAGGTGTGTTAATCAAGGGGAAGGTTTTAACAAAAACCTTGTTAAAATGACTACTGATAGAGATGAATGCCACTTTCAGGAAGTGATGATATTCATAAATCGGTATACAGAAATTATGAATCCTGATATAAAATTATTTCTGTTCTGGTAAAAAAAAGTTTACTAAAAAACTTTTTGCTCACTCATTTAACCACAAATAGGAAGGTTAGTGATGTTACTGAATGCATCAATTGAAAGTGAATATCTATTTAATACAGCAAATGTCTTATGTTACTCTTTCCACTGCAGCAAAAATCTAGCAATTTATCATCTTGAAAAAATATTCTTCTTGCAGTTTTTGATTGTCTAGATTTTGAAAGTTAATGAATGAAATCATTAATTAAAAACTATAGTTATCAATTTCAGCTATTGTTATTCCAAAACTTCACCTTCACCAACCCAATATTTATTTTAGCAAGACATTTAACATTCAGTTATTCAGTACACTACTGTAAGATGACCTGAATGTTAATATCAAATGAAAATAAAATAATGCGAAACCCTGAAATGCTCTTGGAAAAATACATAGGCAAAGCTCTTATTACACAGATGAGGAAACTAAGTCCAAAATCAAATACTGAATAGCTGAGCTGATGCCATCATTCAGTTCTTTAATATTCCTGTCCTGCCATTTTAGTATTAGATCACATTTATCCTTACAATCAGGAAATCATTCAAAAATTTCTTAGGGGATTGTAACAAATAGTAAAGGGGATTGGACTACAACCCCTCTCCCATTGTGCAAAAAAATATCCTAAAAGACATAGAAAAGGCTGCAGAGCATCTAAGATGAGCTCCCTGCCTTTACCACACAGCATTCCCTTCAGTTATAGAAAAATAGATAGTCCATGAAAGTAAATTCAGTTCTCAGACTGTATATTAAGTAAAGAAAACAAACAGCATGGTGACAAGAAAGTCAAGAGGCCACCTACAATATAACCAGCTAACCTGGCATGTTAGAGACTCACAAGCATGAGCAAGAAGAAAAGAAAATGCTATGGCAACTATAAATCCTGCTAGATTAGGGGAGGGAGGAGGGAGGGAGGGAAAGAGGGAGGAAGGAAGGAAGGGAGGGAGGGAGGAAGGAAGGAAGGAAGGAGGGAAGGCAACATTAAAAAATGAAGACTTAGCAAATAAAAATATAAAAAATAGGGACACCAAGCTCAATTTGAACTTCATATCAGCAATAAATAAATTTTAGTATACGCATTTCTCAACATTCCTTGAGACATCTTTTTTTTCTTTTTTAATATATATATTTTATTGCACTTTAGGTTCTGGGGTACATGTGCAGATCATGCAGTATTGTTGCATAGGTACATACACAGCAATGTAGTTTGCTGCCTCCATTCCCCCTTCACCTATATCTGGCATTTTTTCCCCAGGTTATCCCTCCCCAACCTCCCCACCACCTGCTGTCCCTCCCTTAGTGCCCCCCAACAGACTCCAGTGTGTGATGCTCCCCTCCCTGTGTCCATGTGTTCTCATTGTTCAACACCCACCTAAGAGTGAGAACATTTGGTGGTTGATTTTCTGTTCTTGTGTAAGTTTGCTGAGAATATACTAAAAAGAAATATTCACTGTTTGACAAAAATATTGCAAGAAACATAAAACTACTACTCAATCCTACTTAAAACTACTCACAAACTGATAAACTACTCTACTCAAAACTGTTCATTCTAATGTAATATAATAGAGAAATATAAGCTTATTAAAACAAAATTCAAAGACAAAATGATAGAATAACAATATTATATGATAAAGGAGATTACTGATCTAAGAGGGAAAAAACTCAAAACAATAGCCTTATGAAACTAATACATAAATTAGAAAAAGAATAGATGCAATTGAAAATTAAGTTACTGATATAGACAAATGGGGCTTAAGCTAATTACAGTGAAGAAAGATGAACAGATAAGGAGATAAAAGCAATTACAGAAAAGTGAATAGAAACTTTAAACAAAAAAAAAAATCCAACTTAATGCTAATAGGTATACCTGAAGTAGAGAATTTAACAAATGAGAAGAAATATTTATTTTGAGAACCATTTCAAGAAATTACCTGAAGAAAAGCTAAGTCAACCATTAGACTGAAGGAGCATTCCTTCTAGAAAACATGTTATGAAACAAATCCTCAATTTCTAGACCAAAGCAAGTTAAACTATTATGTGTTAAGGTAACTTATTTTTAGGCATCTTTGCACTAAAAATTCTACCATCTATATAGTAGAAACATTAATTTTACTTCAGATTTATTTTCAGGAAAATTGACTTCAAGAAGAAAATGGAAAATTCTCCACAAGTTCAAGGAACAAAAAATTATAGGAAGGGTATTCTATGTACCCAAGGTGTGATGAAAGTAAAGAAGTAACAAGTAAATGTTGTCAAACAGGAAAATAATTCATAGAAGAGGCCCACGTAAGCCCTTCTTGTGGGGAAAAATAAACAGAAAACTACTTTATTACAAAATCTAGCCACAGAGATGATTAAGTTAAATTCAAGAATGGAAAGTAGCCCAAAGACTCAAGAGTTATGAGCATGGAATCCATTTCATTTTATTACTGCTAGTGAACAACTGGGAAATATGGTTACCACACAGAAGGTATATGCTCTAAACTTGGTAAATGTGAACACAATTGATACATCTAGTAGAAAGTGGGAGGAGTGGTGAAGCAGGACAAGAGGACCTGTGACTGTGGCAATCTCTTCACTTTTATAAGAGGGAGTCAACTAAGCTTGATAGGTTAACAAAAAAACCACTTCCATGTTTTTCAAGTTAACTTTGGATCTTTTAGGAAAAAATATACCTCAAGGTGAAAATGAAACATTTATTTGAGGTCAATAGTTCCTTCTAAAAGCAAAATTTCAGTTGTATCCTTCTGTTAAATTAAATATCAATTATACTATTATCTGTCTGCCTACATCAGTGCCTGCCTGTACATCCATCTGTCTGTCAGTTCATCCATCTTGCCATTACTTGATCCAGAAATGTACAAAGAAAAATGTCACAGAATTTTATGTATCTAATGCTAATTGTGAGTCTTTCTCTTTGGTTTGAGAATTTTTTTTTACTAGTTTGATACATTGTTTTAATTGTTTTTAGCAAAACAACACAATGAGTTTTGTAAAAGAAAAAATGTGGGCAAGCAAAAATGGCCAGATGGTAAGTCAGATTAATTCTGAAAAGTAGGAATGTGAATTCATTACATTTTAATCGATATATTTCAGCATTTTTTAACATTTACAAAATAAAATGTTCCCTCAACCTCAGAGAAATATACAATAAAAAGTAACAGATCTCCTGTCTCCTCTAACATCGCATTCCCATTCTTCAGAAGTAACCCCTGTTAATTGTGTACTCTTCCTTCTAAAAACTTGATTTGTATGTAATAATATATACATAGACATAGATACAGATTTTTTAATGTAATCAGAATCCAACAATTCTCAGATTCTTTCTAAACAGGTTAAAAAACAGTATTAAACTAAATTATTTTGCTTACTGTTACTTGTTTTCTCTATACTTTTAGGATTATTTTCACTCACAGTTTCAATGACTTGGTGGAAAGTTTCTTTTGTTTTGTAGGAGATAATACACATATTAAAGAAGATTTTACTTCTTAGTCTTTTGTGAATGACTCTCCATTCAGATTTTCAGTAATTTCTTGATGTCATGATTCTGAATTTTTTATTCTAACTTTCTGGCTCCCACAGGACTCTCAGAGATGCCAATTTACTATGGTGCTTGGTAAAGATGAAAAATCGAGCTTGAGGTAATTTTCATTTAATAAATTTCCACTTGCTCCCAAGGCTATTTCCCAGCCATCTTCCGAAATACAGAGTATTATGTAACATTAGTTCCACTCATGACAATTCCATGCCAGAGTGAATTAGAACACAGCCAAACACTGTGGTCTTGCTTCCTTCCTCTGCCCTTCCGTTCCCCTTTGAGTGCTGCATGGTTTCCCACCCTGTCCACCACTCAAAACTTAGAATGGTAGTTCCAAGGCCTGGGCTCATTTTCATCTGTTTTCTTGAACTCAAAGGTTTACTTTGCAACTTTCCACTCACTCTTTAATACAGCAGTGAAGCTCTTACAGTTTTGCAGAGGAATAAATATAAGGCTCTAGCTCTTTCAATTCAAGAAATGTATGGAATGGAAGTTTTCAACTGGAATGAAACTACTGTATTAGCCAGGATCACAGAATGCAGCAGAAACTGCCTGAGAATCTGCTCAGAGACCACAGTTCAGGCAGTACAGCGAAGCCCAGGATGGAGCCCAAAGAGGACCTGAAAGACCCATGGATAAGAGGTAGCAGCCAATGCAACCTCTTGGACACATATTGGTAAGTGTCCACTTCTGCCTCCTGCCAGGAGTTACTTCTGTGTTTTGGATCCAAACTAACCCAGCAGTATTCCAATGCAAGCAGGGGAACAGGTGAATTCCAAATCACTGCTGGCTGCAAGGTCACTACCTCCCAGCTCACGTTCTTCTAGAGAGAGGTTACTACCAATCTGCAGCTTCACTCTTCTGCCAGTCTCTATTTGATCATAATTAAATGAAGCTTGAGTGTCCTGGCTCAAGCCTTTTCTTTCTTCCAGAGAAGTCTGCATGCTGGCTTCTCCACTGCCAGGCATTCTCTCCTGCTGCTTTTGGAATCTCAGGACCAATGGGCGTCTGTCTGAGTCAAGGCACCGCTTCCCTCTCCTCAACCTTTACCCTCACAATCTGGAAAGACTGGAGCTGCTTCTGATTTGCAGTCGCAGCAGATGGCCACCAGTGGGTTCACCTCAGCCATTAAAATGCCAAGATGAGTTTCTGCAGAAAAGCTGGTGACGCTTTGGCCTGCAGCTGCACGTGGAACAGATGAACTGCTAGCACAACGAAGAGTCGTCCATCATACTCACTTGCAGCTGTTCCCAAGTTTGCTCACTTCCTTTCCTGCAAATTCCACAGGTTTTCTTTGCTGCACTATAAATCAAGTTTCATTCCAATTTTGTGGAATTTGCATTTTTTATATTTTAAAGAAAAACTAGGAAACTCGATGTCTTATAACATCCCTCCATTCTTGGCCATTTCTTGAACTGTGTGGCCAGGAAACCAGAGCAGTGTGATTCAGAAGGAAATGAAGAGAAATGTAAGGTAATGTGTAAAATTACATTACATAGCTAAAATCAGTTAAATGTTCTAAATGTAAGTTCTAAAGATTCCCTGAGATGGGGTGCAGTTAGGTATCCAAATCACTTGATATACATCATTATGAGTGAATTTCCAACTCTGAATATATGCATATAAATATATTACATATGCATCTCTCTCAGTGAAGTAAAAGGTATAAAGTGCAAATATACAATAATCCAAAAGGTTGTATTGAAACAAATTTTGAAAGATACACTCCCATGCACATTTAACTGTGAGTTTGTTAAATCTCCTTATCGTTGAGTTATAGAGATAATAGGATTTAGCATAGACTCTGCAGTTCAATGATTAAGTGAATTAAAACAGAATGTTCAAATATTTAGATACTGTGGACTCATGCATTTCATACATGAAATGACTGTACAAGGTACAGTGAAAAAATATATATACAATTATGAGGTCTTGAGCTACAATTACTTTTTATCTAAGTACTAATATTAAACAAGTCCAGTTGATTGTATATGTCATATAAAATGGATTTGTCAATTAATGTGTCAGCAAAACTTCAGGTAAACAATGTCCTATTTACCCTGAATAGTTTCCTCTCCCTTGCTGTTAGTAGATTGCATTAGATTTTAAAATCAATTGTTTTTCTTGTAATTTGAATATGCTTTTAGACCATGTAAGAGAGCTCTCTGATACTAGATTTACCTTTAAGTATCAAGATTTCACCATTACAGGTCTATTTGCATATGTGGCTCATGTGAAATAAATCATCTGATTTTTTAAGCTTGGCACAGAGGAAGAAATAAAGGCTCTAGTAACATGACTGACAGACTCGCTGGAAGCCGTACCATCTATGTATCAGGCACATTGATTAATAAATGCTTTCAAGTGAATTAAATTAAGAGAAGATTTAGGGCACACTCTGACTTAAGCAATAACTCAAGCAAAAAAACTCTCTCTTTACCTAATGTCCACCTCTGAAATTCACAGGGACAATTTTATCCTTTCCATAGAAGATTTAAAGCCCATAAATAACAGTCATGAGAATAAATACCCTTTAGTATAAATGACTAAGAGTTTATAAAGGTATAGCTTAAGACCTTATATAACAACAACAAAAATACATGGAAAGTTTCACTTATTATAAAAATGCTCACACACAACTCTAGAATAATAGAAAACCACCAACCACTCCTGCCTCTGATATCCTACAAATTTCCATTGCTAACTAGGGGTATCTGGCAACTAGGTTAATTTACAGGTAAGAAAAAAAAGCAAAGAAGAAGAGGGAAAGAGCAAAGAAAAATATATTAACCTTATTTTCTCTATGTTGTACAATTAATGAAAATAATACCAATGAACATTCATTTGCATTCTATTTTAAATTGCCTTGTCTCAATAAATACATGTTTATTGCTTTAGAGAAAACAAGTCCATTACTATTTTCAAACTTGAAATTGCATTATATGTTTAAGCTGCCATTTAAGCAGTGCTACATTTTGCCATAATTTTGCTGTAGTAAACATTCCAGGTATATTCAAGGTTGATTTTTTTCTTCTAGAATTTTAAATTTAGGGTAAATTTTGTAAATCCATGTGGCCAGATCAAAATAATTTGGGTTAATAAAATATTAAGATTGATAGATACTTTTTTTATGATTCTGAAGGTTTCAAGAGTCTTGCTATGTTTCAAAGTTATATATGTTCACATGTCTGGTTACACATTAGTGTGTGTTTGGTCAATAGAGCTTTTTCAACTTTTTGCAATGCTTTGGATATGGCTGGTGTGTTCTCACCAAAACTCAGGTTGAAATTTGATCCCCAGTGTGGTAGCGTTTGGAGGTAGAGCCTACTGGGAGGTGTTTGGTTTATGAGGGTGGATCCTTCATGAATGGCTTGGTGTTGTTCTCCTGGTAGTAAGTTCTTGCTTTCACAAGACTAAATTAGTTCTTGAGGAAATGGCTTACTTTCCACCAGAGTGGGTTGTTACCATGCTAAGATGCCCCTCAAAACGTCCTGTCTTTGCACATGTCTGCATCTTCTTTGACCTTCTCTGTCATGTTATGATGAAGAATAAAAGCCCCTGCCAGAAGCCAGGCATATGCCCTTGAAGTTCTCAGCCTGCAGAGCTGTGAGCTAAACTTCTTCTCTTTACAAATTACTCAGTTTCAGGTATTCTTTTGTAGCAATACCAAACAGACGAAGTTACTTTTTCTAGGAAAAAAAAAAATCAACTTTGAATATACTTGGAATGTTTACTATAGTAAAATTATGGCAAAATGTATTGCTGCTTATATGGCAGCTTAAATATATAATGCAATTTCAAGTTTGAAAATAATAATGGACTTGTTTTCTCTAAAGCAATAAACATGTATTTATTGAGACAAGGCATTATGCTAGTTGTCTTAAGAGATTCAAAGAAATTTAATACAAATCCATGCTGTTTTTGAATTTATGTTCATAGTGCAGAGTAGAAGAAATTTGTATAAAAACTGCTTAAAATTTAAAGCAATACATGGTAAATCCCAAATAAATTAGTAGCTACTAAAGCATTATAATAGTTCATAAATTACACTTTCCTAACAAATATTTTCTAGAGTTGAAAGTGAAATACAAGGAAATTTTGCAATATAAGTGTTTGCTTTCTAAGCAATAAAATATTTGTTATAAATTATCCTTTCCAGCAAGGAAGAATTATGTAGAAGACAAAGAAGTTCAATTAAGTTTGAAATAGCCAAATGTATATTGTTGTTTTTAACAAAATATAAACTATGGTTTGACTAGAGAATTAATAAAATGATACCACAGACTGAGTGCATTTCTGATGTTGGGAACAAGACGAGGATGTACACTAGCACCAATTCCACATTATACTGGAATGAAGCATTGCAATAAAGCAAGAAAAGGAAATAAAATATATAAAAATAGGCAAGAAAGAATAAAACTATCATTATTTACATATGATATGGTCATAGACAATACAAAAGAAACTATGATGACTAAGAGAAATTAATAAGGTTACTGGCTAGGCCAACATTCCAAAATTAATTGTATTTCACATCTATAAATTTCATATAATAGTAATAAAAATTAGAGTGAAATAAAGATTCCATGTAGCATAGCATCAAACACAAACACTTAGGAATAAGTCTAATGAAACATGCATAAGACATCTTTCCAAAATAGAAAACATTAGTGAAAAATAAATGAGGTAACTAAATGCAATAATAATGCAGATATTATTCCATGTTCATAGATTAAAGAACTTGATAAGTTGTTAAGATGTCAATTTCCAACAAACTCATTTGTGGGTTTAATGCAATAGCATTCAGAAACCCCAGCAGATTTTTTTTGGGGGGGTAGGCATGGGGAAAGAGATTGTCAAGTTGATTCCAAATGTATACAAAAATGGAAATAACCTAGAACAACAAAGACAATCTTAAACATGTGCAAAAAGCTGGAGGAGTTTGATAATGAGTAAAGAAAAATAGACCAAATGAGCATAACAGACTACAGAAATAGACCCATAGACCCATAGGTAAATGGTTTATGGTATAGCCACTACTGCAAATCAATGAGAGAAAAGGACAGTTTTTTCAGTAAATAGTACTATAGCACTGGTTATCTGGTACTATAGCAATTGCGTAGATATAAAAACCTCAATCCCTGTTGCATATCACAATCTAAACACAGAACTAAAACACCAAGCATCTAAAAGAATAGAAAAATATCTTTGTGGTTTGGGGATAAGCAAAATATCAACAAACGAACACTTTTAAAAAAACAAACACAAAAATGGAAATTATAAACTGGGCTCTATCCAAATAAAGAACTTTTGTTCATCAAAAGACATCATTAAGAAAGTGAGCAGGCAAGCCATAGAGTGGAAAAACATATTTGCAACATACATACATTACAAAGTACCTGTAAGTAGGATGTAAAAAGAACTCGTCCAAATCAAGACACAAAAAAGATGAACAAACCATTTATAAAAAGGGCAAAAATTGGAATAACATCTTTACTAAAAAGATATTCAAACAGCTGAGACCTATTAAAATGTGCCAAACGTCAGTAGCCATTGAGAATATGCAAATTAAAAACCACAATATAATACCAAGTTACTCTACTGGTATGGCTAAAATTAAACATACTGACATATTAAATGTGGAGCACCTGGAACTCTCATATATTGTAAGTGAGAATATAAACCAGTTCAACTATTTTGCAAAAGTCTGGCAGTGCCAACTAAAGCTAAATATACATCTACTTATAGCAATTCCACATCTAGCAATATGTATGTCCACCAAAAGACATATACAATAATGCTTGTATCAACTTAATTTATAACAGCCCCTGGCTGGAATCATCCCATATCTCCATCAGCATGACAGTGAAGAAACAACATGCTTTTCTGACCAAGAAGCTACCTCCTTTCACTTTGGTTTCCAGGAAGCTCACAGACAAGCTGGAAGCTCAAATGCATCTAAAAACAACATTTAACAGAATACAACAGAACAATAAAGTAAAGTACTGACACGTGAAAGACACCAGATGAAAATAAAAAGCATTCTACTCATAGATAGAACTAAGATTCAAATAGTACATATTTTCTGCAACAATCTGTTTTTGTCTCATAAACAGACAAAACTAATATACGGTAACAAGATATTGTAGCTGTTACCTTTAAATATGTTAAACAGTTTCAAGATGTACTACTTAATTGGCGCACTTTACTCAATATAAACAACAAATCATTTAAGAAAAGAAATTCTAAAACGAAGAGATAAAATAATCTACCTTTCAGTTGAACCCTTGGGAAGTGAATAGTTCCGTTATCCTCCGATCAAGTAAAAGTTGTTTCCCCTCGATGTTCTTCTAAATTACATTAGACAGAATTATAGGAAGGAACCATAGAAGGAAAGAATAGGGCAATTTAGGTTGAAACACTTTTCAACTTCACTTAGAAAACACTGAACAAGCTATACATGTGTCTGTGATATTATAAAATATATATTTGGTCTTTGACATCATTTCCTGGCATACAATTCTAAAATGCGTAGAGTCTCCAAAATAATATCTTTTCATATTCTAATGATTTGACTGAGGGCTGACAGCCCCTAGGTCACTTCAGGATGGAGACTGGTCACCAAAAGATGACCGTGCAGAATTAGAAGGTTGGGATATTCAGTCCGACCTCCCAACCTCCATGGATGTGAGACAGGCTGAAAGTTAAGAGGTTCACCAATGACCAATGGCTTAATCAGTCATGCCTTTGTAATGAAGCCTCTGTAAGCACAAAAAAACTAGGTTCTGACAACATCTGGATAGCCGAATGAGGAGAGATTCCTGGAGGGTGATGTTCCCAGGGAGGGCATGGACACGCCACATCCTTTGCCTCGTACATCTCTTCTTCTGTACTCTTTGTAATATCCTTCACAATGAACCGATTAACCTCTTTTCTTGAGTTCTCTCACCTACTCTAGCAAATACACTGAACACAAGAAAGGGTCAGGGAACCCCAGTTTATAGCCCATTGGTGAAAAGCACTGGACAACAACCTAGGGCTTGTGACTGCCATGTGAAATGAAGGGTGGTCTTGTGGGACTGAGCCTTTAAGCTGTGGGATCTGATGATATCTCCATCCAGGCTGTGCTGGAATTAAATTGGAGGACACCCAGCTGGTGCCCACTGCAGAATTGACTGTTTATTGCTTGTTGGAGTGGAGAAACTGCCACACATTTGGTCACAGAAGTCTTCTGTGTTGATTGTTGTGATGTGAGAGTGGAGGGAAAACAGCTTGTGTGTTTTCCTTTCCTTAATACGTTAGTTATACTCTGTCTACAATACAGAGTATAACTAACGTATTAAGTCCTAGTCTTGCTTCTATTTGTCCCTCCAAATTGCAAAAATATGCAGAGATAAGGCTTTACTATGTACTTCCTATGTACTTTTTCTAAATCTCAACTGTAAAATGAAGGAAATAGCTAAGGTCTTCAGTGCAGAGAGCAGAAGCTAGTCATAAATAGTAATCATGCCAACATTTCCTCTCTATTTTGATGTTTTAACATCTTCTGAATTAAGATGTTTCTTAGAGTTTGGAATTCTACCAGTAGTATTTGTGCTTTTGATGGCATCTCTCTGGAAAATCTTGGAAAGAAATGTAAAATGGGAAATGATGGTATGACTTTTGCAGTGGCTCTGCTGCTGCTGAAGTGTCACTATTAATTGTACAGGCTATGCTCATGCAATAGCTTTTGCTTGGGATCATTTTGTTGTTATTACCAAGTTCAGTTACCCACCCCTATCTCCCAAATCTTTTCTTAAAATTGCTATTTATAGAATCAGGCCTTCAATTCAGCTGCTTATTATATCCAACACTTAAACTGGGAATGGAAATGACTGAGAATAAACAATGACATACTGCATATTTGATGATGTAGAGAAATTCTCAAAATGTTTTTTAATTACCCTTCTAAGACATTATCTACAAATGAAAGAACAAAATTAATTATGTAGTACATGCTTTGCCATGCTTTATATATAAAAAATAATTTGAGCAATCACTTGGAATTTGTTGAAGTAGAATCTGAATTTTGGTCAAAACAGCTTGATAATTATTTTTGAATTATCTTCCTTAAAAAGGTTTGGTGACTTACATATCTTTCTTTCCTTCCTTCCTTCCTTCCTTCCTTCCTTCCTTCCTTCCTTCCTTCCTTCCTTCCTTCCTTCCCTCCTTCCTTCCTTCCCTCCTTCCTTCCTTCCCTCCTTCCTTCCTTCCCTCCCTCCCTCCTTCCTTCCCTCCCTCCCTCCCTCCCTCCCTCCCTCCCTCCCTCCCTCCTTCCTTCCTTCCTTCCTTCCTTCCTTCCTTCCTTCCTTCCTTTCTTTCTTTCTTGAGATGGAGTTTCACTCTTGTCACTCAGGCTGGAGTGCAGTGGCACAATCTTGGCTCACTGCAACCTCTACCTCCTGGGTTCAAGCGATTCTCCTGCCTCAGCCTCCCAAGTAGTTGAGATTACAGGCAAACACCACGCCCAGCTAATTTATTGTATTTTTAATAGAGATGGGGTTTCGCTATGTTGAGCAGGCTGGTCTCAAACTCCTGACATCAGGTGATCTGCCTGCCTTGGACTCCCAAAGTGTTGAGATTACAGGCCTGAGCCACCGCACTTGGCCATATATATATATGAAACACACACATACACACACACACACACAAAGGACTAAATTACTCCATGTGGCTCCTGCAGGCAGAATCAAGCAGTTGCAGAGGCCAGTCACAGTGGCACATACCTGTAAGCCCAGCACTTTGGCAAACTGAGGCAGGAGGATTGCTTGAGGTGAGAAGTTCAAGAACAGCCTGGGCAATATAGCAGACCCTATCTCTATAAAAAATAAAAATAAATTTAAAATTTTGCATATATATATATATATATATATATATATATATATATATATGTATATATATATATATCTCCATTTTCTAAATAGACTTTGAGAGATGTGTTTATACCTGAAACAGGCTGCACCTCAAAACAAGATCTCAATCACTTGACATCTGAATGTTATGCCTACCTATCTGAATGTTTGATATTTTGCATTTGTTTTCCAAGAATATAGAAGGGTAAGTGTTAGAAGGATAAGGATAATATAGAAGGATAAGCATTTCAGACTGATCTCAATCCATGCCTTCACTTTGACTACAGTGTCAAATACAGAATTGTAGAGCTGCTATCAGTGAAGCAGTTTTTAATTAAATTCTTATTTTGTTTTTCAAAATATAATGCAAGTTCAGATTAAAATTGACTAATATATTTAAAATATATCAGAATAAAAAAATAAACAAGAGAAAATTTCTATGGTGAGGTAGGCCAGGGGTATCCAACCAGATCCCGTTAGGCTTTTGAAGAGAGATGTAAATTGGCAAAGAACTTATGTGAAAATTAGATCAGATAGAGTCAGGCCATCACCTATGGAAATGAGTCATGCCTGTTTGTAATTTTTTTGTGATGTTTATTTAGCTCTCTTATTTTCATAAGATTTTATTTGACAACTCTAAGAAATAGAAATGTATGTGTGCACAAATGTCACATTCAAGTTGGAGGGGACGCTACCATGTTATACATCTGTGTATGGATAATACACCGAATTTGCCAAGGAAATATTGAGTGCATTGTTTACGGAGGAATTCAGCACTGCCTGTAGAATTTAGGGCTAAGAAAAAGTTTTTGTTTCCCCTAACAAACTATAATGCTCTATACTATATAATTGTAAAGCTTTTCTATTTGGAGATATCAAACAGGTATCTCCTTTCACTTTGCTTTCCAGGAAGCCCAGAGACAAGCTGGAAGCTCACCTGCATCTAATGGACTTTCTTAATTTTTCCTACTATGATGCTTCTGTTTACATTCAGATATGCCATGGCTGCTGCACTATTTAGCCATTTCATCACAGTTTTATTGTTTGGGGGCTTGAGTAAGCTGTCTAAAATCTTTTATGGTATGAGTTGGGGAGAAAATTAATTTGCTATGAGAGACAGTTAAGAGGCTGTATTGTTTGCTGGGGCTGCCATTACAAGCACTACAGACTAGGTGGCCTAAACAACAGAAGTTTATCATCTGGCACTTCTGGGGTCAGAAGGCTGAAATCAAGGTGTTGGCATGGTTGGTCCCTTTTGCATGCTGTGAGGGAGAATCTGTTTGGGCCTCTCTCCTGTTTGCTGGCAATCTTTGGTGTTCCTTGACTTGTAGCTGGATCACCTTGATCTCTGTCTTCGTCTTCTTCTTGTGGATGTGTCTGTCTCTGTGTCCAAATTTCTCTTTTAAATACGGATATATTCATTTGAGATTAGTATATATCCTAATCACCTCATCTTAAGTTGATCATCTGCAAAGACCTTATTTCCAAGTAAGGTTACATTCACAGGTGTTGGAGTTTAAGACTTCAACATCTTTTTTGGTCGGTGGTGGGGGTGGGGGTGGGGGGAGAGTCAAAATTCAATTCATAATAGAGGTTACACAAAGAGTAAGAGGACAAATTGGAAAGATATCAAGTCCTTGTGACTTAAAAGTCTATATTTGTTCCTAGTCCACCACGCAAGCTTCTTTGCACCTCCTCTTTTCAATTCAGCTTGGGTATTCTTCTGTTATCTCACCCTACCTACGTGTTCCTTGGTTCTTTTAGCCTCTCAAGCACTTTGCTTAGCAGATCAAGAATAAGGACAAAAGTATCCAAAGGCAATGTGACTGCTTCTTCTTTACAGGATGATTTGTTCTTCTCAGCCCCAAATCTCCTTAAGCTGATAAGCAACTTCTGCAGTCTCAGGATACAAAATCAATGTGCAAAAATCACAAACATTCCTAACACCAATAATAGACCAAATAGAGAACCAAATCATGAGTGAGCTCTGATTCACAATTGCTACAAAGAGAATAAAATACCTAGGAATACAACTTACAAGTGATGTGAAGGACCTCTTCTAGGAGAACTACAAACCACTGCTCAAGGAAATAAGAGAGGACACAAACAGATGGAAAAACATTCCATACTCATGGATAAGAAGAATCAATATCAGGAAAACATCCATACTGCCCAAAATAATTTATAGATTCAATGCTAATCCCATCAAGCTACCATTGACTTTCTTCACAGAACTATAAAAAACCACTTTTAATTTCAATTTCTCTGGAAACAATCCTGAAGCACCTTTCTCTGTGGTGGATGTTTTAGCTGAGCTGGAAGAAAGTTATACATTCACAAAAATGCAGAAAAGAAACAGTTATCTTTCTCCCCCTACTCCCACAAAAACATACAGACCACCACATATTATCTCCATTATGTAATAATAATTTATATCACTGCTGGAGCATGTGCTAAGGTGCCAAACCTTGAGCTAGGCACTTGACATATATTATCTTCATTTAATACTGGCAACAACTCTGAAGTATGATACTTTTCATCCTATGTTTCAGTTGAGGAAGCTGAGCCTTAAAAGGATGATACATTTTCTTCCCCATGTTCAATTAGTTATAAATGATGGAGACGAAAAAAATATAAACCTTGGTAATTCTCCACTTTTGCTTATTTCCAGCTAGAAAAAAAACTGTAATTACTGAAAAGCATTGTACCTTCTGATCTCGTTATAATTCTTAAGGAGCTGCCATTTTTGTGAATCAATTCCACATAGTCTCTCCTCTCCTGTCCTGATATTTTTAGTATGCCTGAAACTACTTATGGCCAGTGGTTCCATGGGCTACCCTCTCCCTTGATGTCACTGTGTTCCTAAGTATCACCTGCAAACCTCTGCACCTAATTCAGCCACTGATGCTCATCTTTTAGCCTCTCTAGCACTTGGCTTAGCAGATCAAGAATAAGGACAAAAGAATCCAAAGGCAATGTGACTGCTTCCTCTTTACAGGATGATTTGTTCTTCTCACCTGCAAACCTCTGCACCTAATTCAGCCACTGATGCTCATCTTCTCTCTGCAAAGATTAACTGTCATGCATGCCCTGTTGCCCAAGCATTTTTTCATGCCTAGGAAATATAACCACCATCAATAACCTATTAGCATTCTGCAGCTTCAATGAAACAAAAAATTAGGAACCAACGTTGAGGCTCCAAAATTTATAGAAACACATATGCAAAGGAACTGACAAAGAAAGCTTTGCTTGTTTCCTATAGAAAGCTCTTGTTTTCCCCCTGAAATTGATCCACCTATAATATGGCGTCTCAGGCTTAAGACCTACAAGTGAGACTGGTTGAGAAAGAGTTTGTAGCCTTCGATGAATTTCTATTTGCCCATCAAATTTTTCCCCAGTCCCTCTAACACTTGATATATGTAAATATTTTGTTTACTGGAAACCTTACCTGTGGCAGGTGGTGATTCTAGCTACCACTTACAGTCAGAGTTTCATTCCAAAAGAAAAGCTCACTTAAAAGTCAGCACAAGCTATGAATAAAATAGTGAAGAAATCTCATTAACTGTCTTTTACAGATTCAGTTACTCAGAGGCCTCCAGGTAAATTTTCTAAGCTCCCAAGCCTAGCAGTGTAAAGGCCAGGCATCCTCAGCCCCACCCTGTTCTTCTGACATTCTATTGCTTCCATTTCAACTGTAAACCCTGGAGGAGAGGGAGAGCAGTGCTCAGGAGAACTGTCTACAAGCAACATTTTGTAGCATCAGAGAGCAATTTGGATAACAAGCCATTTTGATTGCAAGGTACAATTTTATTTATTTATTTTTTTTTTTTTTACCAAAAACAGTAATAGTTGCAAAAGTGATGACTACAGAAAAGAGTGGATTAAAGTCCAATGTCTGATAAAAGGGCTTTTAAATTTGTAATTTAATCATTCTGACATTTTGATGAATGCCTAACCTTACAAAATGGGTTGGAGGTTGAGTTGTTAATCATGGGATAGGTAAATGCTGCCGCTGTTGCTTTGAGACTTAAAAATGAATGTGCAAATGGAACCTACATCTTGAAAGATGCTCTAAAACCTTGGGCTTGCTAAATGGGATATCGCTGTAAGAAAATTTAATAAAATAACTACATTCCATAATATACAAAAGAAAACAAGTTCGTAGGCTCTGCAGGAAATGTACACTTTTTTTTTCAAACTACCATAATGTCGTCATGGTGAGAAGCCATAGGGATTTGCCATAAAAAAACAATTTTTATGTCTAATCTGTCTGAAATTTCCCACCATTCATTGCACTTTTGTATTTTATTATCATGGTTTGGCCCACCAATGATTTCAAAGATTGCTTCCCCATTACCGATCTGATATTACTTTTTAAAGAAAACACCTAAAAAAATCTAATTGAATAAGGAAGACTTCTTGTGACAAGGCTGAATATTCAACTTCTAATTGCAAATGATTTCTGTCATCCCTTTGAAACATTACAGGATATCAGGTTTGGTACATTAAGTTCCGAAAGATAAAACACTACATATATTTCCTCTTACTCTGATGACTGCAACTCTCTAAAGGTAACACCACGTCCACCTAACACCATCAGAAAAACACATCAATGTTAAGTGGTAAATTATTTTCAAATAAAACAAATCCTCTGGAGAACAGGTAATGAAGGGTAATGCTGTGAGAACCCAATCATTAAAATGAAGAAGATAACAGAGTAATAACCCATTTCGATTTGACTGATTGACACTTTAAGCAACAAAGAAAGGAATCACATTAATGGCATGATCAAAAATACCATTCTCTTCTATTATGCAATACGGGGATTTAAAAAAAAGTAATGTACCAAACCTGAAGTTAATAGTTGATTTCACAGAAAGCAGAAACTGTATACTGTATTCTTCTCTATTAGTCTGTTTATAGATATATGAAAAATTAATGGACAGAGGATGGAGAGAATGAAATGAGGGGAAGGATATACTGTAAATCAAATCTACTAGGATCACCTACATGGGTTTGCAAAACAACCTAATGGCTTATCTGTGTACATTATAAAATACATGCATTGCTTACTTTGTCTTCTTTTAGGATACTACATGTCAGACCCTAAAATGACATTTGTTTTACACTAATTATGATGTGCTCTCCATTCTGTGATAACAGAAAGATACCTAGCTCACCTAATTTGGAGTATGAAGTAATTAAGAATAAATCACAAGCTATTGTGGCAAGAGCCTTGTGTATTGGAGGTGCCCAGGAAATGCAGTCATACCCATCAATGAGAGAACCTGCTTTTAGCTCAGCCTGCTAGCAGCAGGTGATCACTCTCCAGAGGTATATCACTTTCTCTATGATGAATGTCAAGAAAATGTTGATCCTTGCCAGAGTACACAGCTGATAAAGAATCCCCAAAAAGAGAGTGGGGAGGAGGACGGTAGGCATAGGAGGATGGGATGGAAGGGCTGTGGGGAGAGAAAGTGTATAAACTGGAGTAGTTGTTGTCCCTTGAAATTCAAAAAGGCTTCTGACATTGGTAGAGCATATTGGTCATTAAGAGTAATAAACCCCAGTATAATCAGCCGAAAAAGAATTAGTCATTTGAGCAAATCTATAAACAATGTCTAAGATCTAGTCTGAAGAGTCTAAACTAAGAGCTGACATTGTGATTCAAGGAGTAAAGCTCCCTCATCTTCACAGTTTTGCTTGAAGGACTATTTCAATGAGCCATACCCAGAATGTTAGAACTTTTTTTTAACATCCTCTTTCCCCCCAAACTCTACCCTCTTTTCTGCTTTATTTTTCTCATTCATACTTATTACCTTATATTATATGTTTATTTACTTCCTTATTTTCTGTCTCCTGCAAGTAGAATTTTAATTCCGGCACAGCAATGGCTTGTTTTGTTCACTGCTGGGTCCCTAGCACCTAGAACAGCATCTGACATAGAACATACTCAAATGTTGATTAATTGCATGAATGAAAAGTTAACTTTTGTGTATACAACTGGAATGAAATATACCTTTAAATCAGCAGACTATGTTTTATTCACTAGAAACAGAAGATGAAGATGAAACTGTTGGAATGGGGGAATGATGGAAGCAAGATGAGGTGATATTTATTGTGAGACAACTACTGGGATCATATATGGTTATATTATACAATACAAATTTCCCAAAAATCTTACAGGTAGATTGCATGTATCATCTCGAGTTTACCAGAAAGTCAGATGAAGCTCCCTAAAAATAACCATCATGACTAAAGTCACCATATTTAGACCAGGAAGTCATCAACAGGATCACCTCATCTTGAATGATGTGCTGCAGCGAGTACATCTTCAAAAATATCCGCTTGTGACCTCCTGGATGTTTGGATATATGTGGATATACATGGATAAGGGTGAAGGAGAGGTGAGTGATGTGCAGGTTTTCCCAGTGCTTTTCTGACATTACGACAGTGATAGAAAATAACTGTGACATAAGATTAGCGGGCACATATGATATTCAACTTTGCAGATTTTTCTGAAGCTCTGAGTCACAGAAAGAGAAAAGACATTTCTTCAGGCTTACACAGCTCCTTAGAAAACTAGCAGAGGGCTCCCCTCTCCAATTTATACTAAGGCTAATTAGTATCATACCAATAATGAACTTGATATAATCTGGCAAATTGTTCTCAAAAGTGTCACTTCTGTATTAGAAGTCATTGAAAATATTTCAAGTTTTTTTAAAACACTCCAGTCTTCTTAATTGTCTAAACACACACACACACACAGATATTAGTATAAAATATGTACTATGTGTGTGCGTGTGTGTGTATATATATATATATATTACTATTCATATAAATACATAATATTCTAATAAAGAAAATACTTAGTACTGGAAATATTCATGCTGAGAAACTGAACTAGGCAGATCAAAGCTCACAATGAATCAATTTCCAAGCAAAGCTATTTTTTTCCCTAGCAGTGGCAAAGAAGTACTTTTGTTTCTTGTATAATCAAACTTGTTTGAAACTCCTGAAGAGGTGTGAATGGAATGGTTATACATGTGCAACAGCTCCTTGGTGTCTGGGCCTCAATGGATCTCAGATTCAGTGGGGGAGAATCTGAGTTCAAACTATTTTCAAAAAAGTTATGCATTCTATACTCTGGGAAAGCATACTCTAATAAATATGTGAAAGAACAAAAGTGAGCCCACATTTATCTTCACTAAGCAGCTGATTTGCTCAAGAAATAGGATATGTCTTAATGGTTCAGAACACTCCATCAAAAGACTCATTTTTTTATAAGAACTGCAAAATGGATGGCGAAATAGAACAGAAATATACCAGTCCCACTATACTGATTGAAGCGTGGGCTCCCCAAGCCTCTTAAAGCTTTCCTGATGTAGCATTTCTACCAGTAGTTTTTCCTAAATCCTGTAGGGCTTTGGAGTGGGGATGGCAGTGAGTAGGAAAATTAATTGCAATGCAGTCACGCATAGCAGGGCTGGCTACAGTCATTATGGACACCCTAGATTTGCCTTCTAGCCAATTTCAACACAGTCCTGCGAGGTAAGTCAATGTTCAAATGGCTGTCAAAGGGCAGGGCGCGGTAGCTCACGCCTGTAATCCCAGCACTTTGGGAGGCCGAGGCGGGTGGATCACAAGGTCAAGAGATTGAGACCATCCAGGTCAACATGGTGAAACCCCGTCTCTACTAAAAATACGAAAAATTAGCTGGGCATGGTGGCGCATGCCTGTAATCCCAGCTACTCGGGAGGCTCAGGCAGGAGAATTGCCTGAGCCCAGGAGGCGGAGGTTGCGGTGAGTCAAGATCGCGCCATTGCACTCCAGCCTGGGTAACAAGAGCGAAACTCCGTCTCAAAAAAAAAAAAAAAAAGGCTGTCAAAAATTGTAGCCCCAGAGAATATCACAGCTTGGATCCAAATCATAGATATCCCAGCTGGTAGTACACTGAAAATTCAGGGAAAGGCTGTGAATACATTTTATTTCTCAAACTAATCTGAGGGCAAGTCCTATAGAATTGACATACTGACATAGCTCAGTGTAAAAAAAAAAGGTATTGGAAATCAAGAGATGTGGATTGCAGTTCTATCTTTGCCATGAACTGGCTGAGGACATTTGAATTAATAATTACACCTATTCAAGCCTCAGTTTTCTTAATTGCAAAGAGTAACCTTGGCAAACTAGTTATCTCCTCTGGCCTTCATTTAATTATCCATTAAAAGCAAGCTTGCTATGGTATTTTATGGTATTATTAGAGAGAGTCTTACTATAATATTGCTTTTCAAATTCCATTAATGTCCCTGCCTCCAGTAGATATTTAGAGAGGATTCTGAGCAGAATTAGCCAAATAATCAAACAAAGTTGGAGGATTTGAGATTATTTGCATGATCAATTAAAATATGAAGGTCAGATCCTGTATGGCTTTTGAGTAGAAAGGTCATTACGTTGGCAATCCTTCATCTTGGCTTCTAGTACCAGCTTTGCTTCCTGTGACCTGTGTTACCTCAGCAAATGGTTAGATTTACAAGATTCTGTATAGTATACAATGTTATGCTATATATCTTAACAACTGAAACTTTTAAGGAGAGAGGCTTATAATCCTTTCTGGGACATCTGAGGGAGACTCTTCATTTAAATCAAAACAAGAGGAATGTCAGTGGGATGTGAGGAAAAACAGCTTGGCACTCTGAAATATCAAACACTGAAATGGGATTCTCTTTGACATCTCAAAATAAACAGCTACCGGTTTTGGA